ATACCGAGTGAAGTTGTATTGGTGTTATCATAGTTTTCTATGTTTCAAAAAACTTTTCGCTGTTTTTGTCTTATAGTTAATCATTTTGTTGGCGATCATCTGGAGGTATTTGAAGGACATTCCATCAGATTGTATTATATATTCATTGATGTTGTTATCATTGTCGTTGTTGTTTCCATTATGATTATTATTGTTAATATCATTTTTATTATTGACGATATTAATTGTTGAGTTGACAAGACAAATTGCCTTAAAAGATCAACAATAATGAATAAAAGTTGATACATATCTTCAAATGGTTTTTGATATAACACGGTTATCGAATCGTTATTTGGAACGATTGAATTGGTACAATATCTGTCTATGTATATCTATCTAATGTGTAATATTAGCTTGGGGAATTGTTTTGAGAGAAATTTTGCATATTCATTTTAAATCTTATAGTTTATTTTGCAAAATGACAGTGATATATTGATGATTTCATTATTGTTGTAAGGGTAGGGTGTGCGGCAGTTTTATTGGTTTAAATTAGGTTTGTTAGGGTTAGGCAGATGTATGGTTTGATTCGTTGTGTAATGATATACATGGCGATTTGATTCAGTTTGGTGATGAAATTTGTCAGTATTATTNTTATTATTACTACTGGAGTTGTTATTTTCAGACGGAATGTATAATAGAAGTATGAATGAGGAGTTGTCGATTCATCGACATAGTTTGAATAATACTGGTGATGTTAATCAGAGTGGATTGTTAGCATCACATGAGAGTACGATGAAGTGGAAATTGCGACAAGAGGCTCGAAATAAATTGTTGCAGACGGAAGCGCAGAAAATACCATCAGATGAAGATATTGACGTAAGTGGGAGATTGCGATTAATTGGAGAATGACTCAATGGATTTTTGTTTTTTGGTTCTTTCAAATATTTGAGAATATAGAATTCAAGTATTTTAAGGGAATTATTTAATTATAGAAGTTGGACTTTGATATTTGTGTCATTTTAGATGTTAATGTGAGATTGCTGAGGATGATAGTAATAAAATACATCTTCAGGCGTTCGGTGATCTCTTGAAATCGCACTGTCAACGGACGTCAACAGATGACGTGGAACTGATCAGATACGATGAATATCGAGTAGGTTAATGAAATTGATGACAATAGTGATAGTGATAATAATTATTGTGATAATAATAGTTGTAATGGTACCTTAACACANACACAGCAATATCATAAGAATTTACAGAAAGCTATCGCAGAAGTGCACTCAGAATTGCTGAGAGCATTCATACCGTCGAACCTATTCATGAGTCTACTGACGGCCTACAATGACGACCAGTTCGGTCGTATACCAGTGCAAGTTGTGATTGATTATTTGCGATTGAGAAAGGATAAGATGAATAAGATTATCACGTTGAATTATTACGATTCGAATGGAAAAGGATATCTGACAGATGAAGTGAGCTGAGCTGATGCGCGTTTTTTGTTTATTTTATTCGATTTATTGGTCATTACTTGGATTGGTTTTTCGTTTGCGCTGATTGTTAGTGAGAAATGAATTTGATAGTGGATTTGAATTTAAGGATTTGAATGATTACATATCTGAGGAATATATGTCACGTTCACCAGTGATCACTTTATTGGAGGTTTGATATGATCTTGTTGTTGTCATTGTCATTGCTTTGCTTCTTATCGTTATTATTGTTATGTTTGTTGCCATCTTTATCATTGTTATCACTTTAAAGGTGTTCCCGAATTAGTTGTTGATTGGAGAGCTGATAGTCTCAAACTGATTCCTCGAATAGCGAGGTGATCAGTATGAGGTGATCACTAGCGATCAGACATTTGATCGCTGAAGTTTTGGTTTATGAAAATCGGTTTTTTAATTTGCNGCACGCGATTACTATTTGATAATGGCTATGCGAAAAATTTTGTTCTTCTTGGACTCACAACACCACAAACGAATTCGTGTGACTGATTTGGTGGGGAGCGGGTTTTTGGAGCAGATGGAAACGGCGTTGTGGGATGAGAATTGTATTGCTGCTGCTGCTAATGCTGAGGGGGAGAGTAAACGGCAGCGGGATGATTCGAGTGAGGATAAAAGCGATAAAGGGAATGATAAAAGTGATGATAAGGATGGTGGTAGTGAGAGCGATGAAGCAAAAGTGATTGTATCGCTCGGTAGTGCTGTCTCAGAACAAACCACTTCGAATTGGTTCTGTTTGAATTTGATTGTTGTTTTTTGTTTGGGTGGAGGGGGAGAGGGGGCTTAACCTTGTTTTTAGTATTGTTTTTGTTATTATTGGTGATGTGGTTGAAATTATATTAGTGATAAAATTGCAATTGGATTTTTTGATTGGAGGTTCTCGAAAGGAAACTTTCACCGTGTAGCCGAATTGTATGTGCAGTTGGATGGTGATGGAAATGGTCTGTTGGATGCGAGTGAGCTGGCTGACTTCAGACGTATCACAAACACTTTCATCAACAGGTTGATTTCAGTTTTTGTGAAGTTTATGAATGTGGTTAGTGTTGACATTGTTAATCAGTTAGGTACAGTTTATTGTTGTATGTAACTTGGATGCATTTGAGTTGAATTGTGTTTTTACGATGACTTGGCAGTAATTCCATTTTGCTTTTTAGAATATTCCAAGTGACGCAGACATATGAGAAGGATCCGCCGAAAATTGATTTGCGTGTCTTCATTGACTTCTTATTGGGCATCGAGAATAGATCGGTACGATTTGAGTTTGCCTTATGGAGCAGTTCATGAAAATTGTGAAAAATCGCCGGGAGATGTTTTGATTGATGGTGTNNTTTTGTGCAATTTAGCATTCATTTGATGAAATGATTATTGAGAACTGATTTTATGGGTGATATTGTGAAAATTTTGAAGGATCCCGCGTCGATAGTGTACCATTTTCGGGTGTTGGATTTGAACGGAGATGGTTACTTGGATGCATTTGAGTTGAAGTATTTCTACGATGACATGGCAGTGTTATCAGAGCAGTGTTATGGAGTTGATAGCGAAATGCAGTTTGCGTTGCCGTTGTTTGAGGATATTAAAGACGAGATCTTTGATATGGTAAAACCGAAGGATCCGTTAAGGTAAAGGGCGATTTCAGTTGTTTTAGTTCTCATCGTTGTTGTTTCATACGTTGATTGCTGCTTCTGTAATTGCAGTTGTTGCGAATAATATTTTCTTGATATAATTCAGGATATCATTAGAAGAGCTGTTGGCGTGCGGTCAAGGTGGCACAATCTGTGGTATGATCACAGATTTAGATTGTTTGCTCGAATATGAAAACAGAGAAGATCCAGGAAGATTACAGGAGGACTTGTAAATCAGTGCTGATGCAATTATCACTACTGTTATTGTCATTATCATATCATTTACCNTTTTGTTTTTATTATTGTCATTGTTGTGAATGTTATTATTATTATCATTTTTTCATCATTATGACAATTGTTATTGATAATAATATCTGATAGCATTGCTCTCGTTATGATATATGTTGTAAGTATATTTGTGGTACATATCCTGGCGTTTTGATGGAATTTGAACGCATTTATGTGTTTGTTATGGTTGGTATTATCTTTCTGAATAAAATATCTGCTTTTGTGGTTGTTGTTGTATTGTTTTTATTAATGTTATTTTAAGTTGGCATTATGTACAAGCGACACTTTTACTCATCAGAGTCATATGCGAAATCGCTATTTGAATATTTGTATGGGTGTTGATTGGTTTGATTGGGTATATGTCATGGACGGGCACATTAGTATGGTGTTCCGCTACTAGCGGATCAGTGATTTAGCAATAGAGCGGAAGCTATTGTGTTGTTCAGAAAGAAAATTGCGTGTTGAGGAAGACGGTAAAATGATGGAGGATCGACGTGACAGCGCTGAGAAATTGAAGGATGCCAATGAGATGATGGAATTTCACAAGAGATTAGTTGAAGCAACGGAGAAATTGCAACAGCAAAAACTGAATGAAAATCCATTGGAAAAGACGAACGGTGAGGAATTCTATGGAAATTCTGTGAAATTTCGATGAAAGCGATCGTTGATTCTTTTGGAAATGTTTGATTATTTTTTTGTTCAATTCGAATTTGATGGTTGCTTCAGTGGATTTGTCATAGAGACTTGATATGGAACTCGTGATGAAGCAACAGAGGTGGTTGATAACGATAATGATAGAGATGAATCAGAAGTTATTGCTCGGAATGAAAATGACTTCGAAAATGATGAAAATTCAGTGGCAAAAGAAGGAGAAGGGGAAGAGCGGCCAGTCTGGGAATTACCAGTGGTTGAGTATCAGAAACCATTGAAAAAGGATCCAGAACGGGTGCTGTACGTGATGAAACATATGCGTTCGATGACATTGGCTGAGATGAGACGATATCTGAAAGAGGATCATATTGATTCACGGTGCGATTGTTTTATTATTGTTAGACAGAGATGAAGTGGCTGGATAGATTTGTTTGGATTAGTGATTGATGATTTCAGTGGAACACGAGCCCAATTGATGGCTCGATTGCGGAAGTATTATCGTAGAGATTTTGCGATTATAAAAAGTGATGAACCGATGCGCAATAGAACGGAACGATATTATGATTATTTCGTGGTGGGTTGGTTGTTGTGTTGGATATCGATTTCGATTTTGAGGAGCGTTTCCTTGGTGGTTGTTGTTGGTTGGTACTGTGAAAGGGCGATAGAATGAAGGGAATTTTTAGGTGATGGATTTTGAGTGCACTTGTGAAGATGAAGTGTATGAATATGAGCATGAAATTATCGAATTTCCAGCTGTACTGGTGGATGTACGCAATAGACGAGTTGTACGTTGCTTTCGTTTGTTTATTTGGTTGCAGCAGCACTCGCAATAACAGTAGTGATAATTTTTTGAAAAAATAATAACAATAGCTTAGGAAAAGCATAATAGAAGAGGAACAATATCTCTGAGGCAGTGAAAATCAGCTATAATATCATATTGTAATTACATAAATAGTACACCTTTCATTCATTGTTCGTCCTCCTTCTCTAGTTAATTTCACACAAAGCGAACAGAGATATTGGTAAGCGAAATCATCGATCGATCCGTCTTTCGGAGTTTGAATGGTTTAATTTAGCGATAGCGGTGAAGTGTAATGCAGAGTTTTTCATTTATTTTGTTGACTGGATACGGTAGAAAATGAAATGATCAGTTTCGTTACAATGGATATCGTTTAAGGTGGACACGTTCAGATCGCACGTGCGACCAACGCTAAATCCGATACTGAGTGAATTTTGCACTAAGTTAACGGGTATAACGCAAGAAATGGTCGATAACGCATTGCCTTTCACGGATGTTTTAGTGTCGTTTCGGATGTGGATGCAATCGCATAGACTAGGACAGGAGAACGCTCGATATGCGTTTGTTACTGATGGGTGAGTGCTTGTTGTTAATTATGTTTTGTTTTGGTTTGCTTATTGTTCATTTGTTTGTTTGCTGGGTAGATTAATGAAGAGTTTAATTAATGAAGGACATTTTCAGACCATGGGATATTGCGAAATTTTTTCAAATGCAGTGCTTACAGGTTGGCTTTGATTGTTATTGCTTTGATTTGTTGATACAATTCATATGGTTCGTTCATACTGCGATTGGAAATGATTTCAATTGATTGATGTTTTTTTNATTCGTGGTTCAGTTATGATCTGGTTAATTGTTTGTGATTTTTTCTGATTGATAACGATAAGAATGATATCAGTGATAATAGTGGTGATATGTGATAATAAGTGGTGATAATGATAAAAGTGATATAGACTTTCTGATGGTATTTTTTGAGGACATAGTTCGCAAAAGGTGAACTTAAGTGGAATGTTATCGACGTTGGGTATGACTTTTGAGGGACGTGAACATTGCGGATTGGACGATTCGAAGAATATCGCTCGTATTGTCATTCGAATGCTTGAGGATCGCTCTGAACTGAGGGTATTTTCATGTTATCGTTACTAGGATCATTATTGTTATTATTACTGCTGTTGTTGTGATTGTTACTGTATTCATGATTTTGCTGACAATTTTAGGTCAATGAGAAACTGGCTCGAGGACGAGACGATTCTAATAAGGTTGGTTAGTGAACACTCTTAAAATTTCCTCTAATTCTCAAAATGAGAATTTCAAGTTTTAAGATCTGAATGAAATTACAATTTCTCAATTGTAGCGGCAAGCCACCGGCAGAAATTCGTCGATGAGCAATCAGAGCAAGCATCAAAATGCGGATACTGCTGAAAGGAGATGTAAGAGCGCAAGCTTAAGCCAAGGCCAGCAGAACGTTGGTGAAATCAATGAAAACTTGGGCGAAAGCAAACGAGCAGATCAAACAGAACAGAGACAACGTTGGCGTGATACACTGCCGTTGAAAGTGCATTCGGTTTGCAAGGATGCATTCATCAGTGGTGAATATTTGGATTGTGATACGTGTGATGAGGCATTCGATTGACATCGATTGTAATGGGTTTTGATGGTGGTTATTTGGTTTGCGATTTGATTTATGGTGTTATGTTCTCGGTGTGGTTATGTGCTGCTGATTACTTGGATTGTTTTGTTGTGTCTATTGCGAGATTATGCTAAATGTTAATGCGATCATGTGTTGTTCATATGGTAATATTTCTGGTGTGCGATTATTTTGGTTCGTTTTCATTGCGATTTTCATTTGCTGTCTTCTTTGTTGGTTTGGTTTTTGAAAGATTTATTGCATTCGTGCATTATTCAGTTAGAATTTATTTTGCATTCACTCATATACATTCATATAAGTTTTATGTACTTCTGTGCGTTGTTTAGATGTACTCTAGCAATTGTGATCTTCTATCGCTGATATAGTGCATAGTGTCTTTGTTCAGCTCAAAAGTGCTTGTATTTCGAAACCTCATGATATTGATGGATTATTTGTTGTTGATGGAATAAAGTAGACAATGATATCTTGTTGCTGACATCTTTCCTACTTATCCGCGTGTGGGATATACGGAACAGAATCGGAATTTTTGAGAAAAATACAAAAGTTTTATCTCTTTCTCTTAGGAGATCGAGATGAATGGTGTTTTCTTTCGCGATGAGATTTCAAATAATTGGAATTATCCTTATAATCTCATCAAAGGATAATTGGAAATTGGATGTATTGAAGAGGAATGAGTGCAGAGAGGGTTTAATACATAGGGATTCATACATATGAGTTATTGATACAGTTCAGACGAGAATTTTATGGGTCACGAGCTTTCAGTGGTTGATATTATGCGGTTGGTTAGAAAAAGTAAATAATTGAATTGAGAAATAGTGAAAATGAAAGAGAACATCTCTGTCTCTTGTAATATGAGCAAATTATGCAAGTGGGACAGAGTCAAACTGGTTTTACTTTTCCGGGAACAATTGTTTTCTATTTTTGGTTCGATGGGTCTTGGCATGACTTAATTTGGTGAATGGTTCCAGTGTTGATTGGTTAATTGGTGATTGGTGGTTAATTCTGGGCCGTCTTAAATCGCTCGTCGAATGTGCTTCTGATGAAATTCGCTATCTGCGAATGATTTTTGTTGCTGTTTCCGGTGATGAGGTAGTTTTTTCATCTTAGGAAAAGTGGAGATTTATTAATCTTTGAGATGCTGTCAGTGTTACGATTGATATTCAGTTGCGATAGTCAGCTGTGAGCGGAATGCTTTTTGAGAGATCTTGGCAAGAACAAACGACTGTTTCGTGTATAAGGAAGTGAATTTACGATTTCCTGTGATCTGATCTGTGATCTCGATGATTCATTGTTTAAGGTCGTGCAAGATGAAATAATAGTTACTTTTCGGATATTGCTATTGTGAGGTATTTATTTGCTTACGAGCAATTGAAGGAAGGGCATAATGATCAATCGCTACGTAGATGAGTGCTGCTTGCTTTTCGTTGCCGGTATTATGTTGCTGGTATTGGGTGGAAAGTGTTTGAGTTGAGATTTGGAATGTGATTTTGAATTGATTGTTACCATTGTTCAGTGTTTGTGTTTGTATTAATACTATTGCTAAGATATTGTGACAATGAATCATCGTTGTTATGGTTATTTTGTGTTGTGTTTGGCTGTACTCATTATTCTTAAGCAAGCTGAATTATGAGTTCATATTGAAATGTTATCGCGAAAGAAGAACGTCCTTGAAAGTAACCATGTTGTGATAAAGATGCATCATAAAATGTTTTATTGAAGAAGTTTTTGAGCGTAGCGATGAGGAATTGACAATTCCTGTTTTCGTTCACAGTCAGTCTCTTGTGTGTATTTATTTCGTTCCAAAAAAGTTTCTTCTCATTTTTTTCGAACGTTTACTTGCGGAATGTTGTCTTGATATTCAAGTATTCATTGTATTCTTCCGGACCGCTCTGAAATTCTGCGGAAACTCTTTGCGGAAGATTTCATCATGTAGTTGTTCATTCATTCATGTATATTGATTGACAATAGTATTGTCAGAATTTGAAGGCGATTTTTGAGAGTTTGCGCTGACCATTATTTGTGTCGCATTGATAGTTTTTGATACATGAGAGGATCATTGGAGTGTTTGATTGACCAATCGTAACATTATAATGATTGTAGAGAATTTCGATGGAAGAATTAACGTTCTGTGAGTTTGAATTGTGTCACCTATTTTATGTTTCGTTAGTTATAGCGGTTTGCATAACCACATCTATCTCACATCAGTTTCCTCAGTTCAGTCTCTTTTCCACTGGTGAATATTTATTAGTCGTTTCGATTTGGAACGTAACTGACGAGTTATATTAGTGTTGATTCGTACATTCATCCACTTGTTTCGTTAGCACTTTCTTGAATGTTTTCTCAGAAGAACGCCCCAATCAGTTTGGCAGTTGTTGTTTTGTCGATGTTTTGCTGGTGTGATTCAGTGCTGTCTCGAGGATATTGTTTATATGTTCTCTTCGTTTGTCAATTCATTAAGGGTTGAGCAATTCGAGTTTAGAGTTTAACATCGGCAGATTGACATTTAACACAAACTTATCACTTTACACTGACTATCATCATTGCAAACAGCTCGCATTTGTGTTATAGTAGTGCTAGGCGATATGATTCTATAGAGATGTTGAGGTTTTGCTTGATATCTAGTTTGAATAACTATTTGCACGAATGATAGTGGTGATAATGTTAGCAGTTTGATAACGCTCCTTGGAAATATGCTTATTGTCGCCATTATTATTGCAACGTGTTTCGTCAACTTAATCATTAGGAAATGTGTTTTTTTTGTGGTTTTATTATCGCAGGTATTACCGCCATTATTAATATGTAATGCTCGCTGTCGTTCTTATCGTTATCAGCGATTTGAGTGTGCGCTCGATTGATGTGATAGGATTTGCAGAAGGGAGCAGACAATTTGGCTTAGATACCAGACGAAAGCAAAATGCATACTTGTATTGGTACTATAATTGTAACGTTTCTGATCGTATTGGCGGAAACAGGAGTACGAGGTAAAGTGCAGAGGTAGGTCTTGAGTTGATTAATTTGTATCGTGATGATTACAGTTGTTTTTCGATATGATTACGAAAGAGTCTTAATGGAATGATTGCTCATTTAGTATTAATATTATTACTTTTTGTTATTGTCTAGTAATGTTATTTTTTAATTTTACCGTTACTATTTGCATAATTATCGCAGAAAGCAATGTTGATGCGCACTGGCGATTTTTTAGTGTTGTACGAGAGTGTGCAGGCGAGAAGAATAAAGGGCATGTTTGTGGAGCTACGGATAAGGCTAAATCAAAGGCTAAAGTTCAGGTTAGTGTGATAATTAAATAATTGTGATGTTGCTTAGTAATAATGTCGATAATATATCGATGGATACCAATAATAAGCAGTAATTGCAGTGGTATTATGATCAAGAAACGGAAATGTGTTTAGCGTTCAAATACAATGGATGTGGTGGAAATACGAATCGTTTCAATACAATCAAACAATGTGAAAGACATTGTATACCAGGTGCGAAGAAGAGCAGATTTTCCGTTTTGTTTTCATTCCAGAATTTTTAATTCAGTTTTGAAATCCTCTCCGAATATTCCAAAATTCAATTCTGTAACGTTCTTCACAAAACTTCATGCGAGTTGATATCTATTGGTTGTTGTATTGTAGAGGATTATGGTTGGTGTGCACTCTCGAAAGACGCGTTTAAGAACAGCGATGGTGAGAGCAGGGTGTGTTACGGTCACAACATGCAACCTCAAGAGAAATGCCCAGCCGATTATCGCTGCAAAATGTTGGCATTCTTCGGTGTATGTTGCCCGAAACGTACTGAAGGTTAGTGGTGTATTCCAATGGCAGTAATCAGTTCAGAAATTGATTGAGTCTGCTTTATTTTTGAGATACAAACGTGGTTGTGGTGAATCGTTCGGAATCTGAAACTGTCCTATTCATTGCCCTTTTAGGAACTGAACTTTAAAATTTGAGTGTTTTTTTGGTAATGAAACCGACCAAGATTTTATGGTTTGATTGTTTTCTGAGTATCACTAGTTCGTAAGTGCCTAACACGGTTTTTGTTCGTTTTAACAGGGTTTTCATTCTTTTCCGAGCTGTTGCAATCGCTCTCATAGCTTTTATCACCAAATGTGTTCTCTTCTGATAATTTCTCATTCATTTCACTCAACAATTAAAGTCAAATTCTCATTCTTTCAAATACACTCTATAATCAATCATTTGACAGTCGAATGTTGTTGAGCAGTAATGTTCTATTGCTACATTGTTAATTTCGGCTGTCAACACTCGTCAACGCATCCAGTAAACAATATGTGCTACAGAATGAGAAATTGATTGAAGCAGTGAATTGAAATGAGACGAAGTGAATGATAAAAACTCATGAAGAGAACGTTATTCGCATGTGATAGCTATGAGAGTGAATACAACACGTCTGAAAAGAATGAGAATCCATGAAGTGAGCACGTCATAGACAATAGCTTTTCATGCAATCATAATCGATTGCAGTTATGAGCAACACAATAGTCTGGGACACTGATTTCTTTCACGCCGATGAGAAATTTACGGACCGGTTTTCCGTTTGTTACTGACGTTATACGTAGAAATAGTAAATTCTTGTATCAAGGAGAGGGTGAAGTAACGGCGGCCTGCCAGATCATAAAAAGGGAAAGAAATCATTGCGATAGAGTGAAAACTACATAAAACTGAAAATTTTTCAGAGTTGTTCGAACGCAACTATCGAGCACGTTGCGAGAATGGTACCACCGTGAAAATGGACCGTGGTGGGTATGAAACGCCCGTATTTGGACGTTCTTGTGCCGACGACTTCTGTCCAATGGATACCCGTTGCGTGGATCAAGAAGTTCTGGCGTATTGTTGCCGTTAGATCCGATACTCATTACCTCTGAAAGTTGAGTTTAGCAGTTGATGCAGAAACATTGCTTTTCTTTTGCATTGTTTCGTGTACGTTTCTCGGAAAATTTCATCCGATTCTATTGCGTTGTATTTTGTTAACTTTTTTAACATTTAATCGTGTTTTCTGTTGGCTTATTCTATCGCTAGTTCGATGCATTAATTTTTGTTGAATGCATTTACCGGTATTCGAATTTTTGACCAGTATTTGAACGCAATGAAATTACAGTCAGTTTGAGGAGTCTGTTTGGGCATGAGCTTTCATACAACTCTATCTTACTGTATACGGTTACTTCAATTTTTAGATACTTGAAGATCCGTCATACAGTTGCAGAGAATTGTAATTCTAAACTGTAACGTGCGAAATGTGTATGAAAGCTTTTGTAAGGCTCAGTTTATAAGAGATAATTTCTCAGTTTAATGTAATAATACTTTTGGCCATAATGATAGCCCTAATAATGATAATAATAGAATGATAATGGATAATGGTGTTGATAATGTGATTGTTATTGATATTTGCATCGATTTCATTCGTTTTTGTGTTGTATTTGGTTAATAGATGAGAAAATAGTTCGTTAATCATTTGTCATTATACAAATGGAATTGGTATTTGATTTATTCCATTTGAATGTTTTGTTTCCATTGTATTATAGTTCTGCTCGTGTGTGTTTAGTAGGCAGATGCGTTTTGTGAAGTTTTATTCAGAAGGGCGATTCGGTGATTTGGTAAATAGTATTGTATCGGTTTGATCACATACTATTCATTGTATGCAGATTGGATTCTGGAGGAGTGATAATCGGGTAGTGGATAATGTCAAAATTACATAATCGTTTGAATTGGTGGTAGTTGAGATATAATCGCTCGTATAAGTCAAAGGTTATAACAGCTTGGCTAGAAGTCGATGAGACTGTGATCGTGCAATGTTTTTGCACAAGCGATTCGCGATGAAGATATTGCTGGAATGGAATATATTTCATCCAATTGATGATAGGGTGCATTCTGCAGTTTTGTATTAGATTTTATGTTTTGATAGGACTTGAATTGAGTTGATTCGATTCGATTTAATTTGTTTGATTTTATGTGACTTAATGTGAATGTGACGAATTGAATTTTGAGGTGTCGATTGATTTTTCACTGAATTTCGCGTTATGAAATATGAATTTTGCGTTTCATTTTTGTTTTGTGGCATTTTTTTGAGTTCACATCGTGTTTAGTTCTGTTGAATTGCTTGCTTGCTTCCTTTTTCATTTGCACAATATCAATAAAATCGGGTAATTCAATTAGTACATTTTATTGTCGTTCTTGAAACGTATATTCGAGTGGGTTTGATGTGATGGTAGCAAAAACATGAAATTTGCAGAAGAATTTGATGAAATACGAGGCAAGGCATCTCATGCCGCTGTTATGCTAATACATTTTATGCAAACGGGATGTTACAGTCAGCGATTTGCGGTTTATTTGGTTTTGAAGCTTTCAGAATTTAGTTACATGAATAATCAAATTTGTGATTCGATGTGAAGTCTCTAAATGATTTCACTTACTGCAGAATAATTTCACTTACTGCAGAATATTAAAATCGAATTAGAAGAAAAGGCATCCTTCCCCTTTTCAGGAATAGAAAAAGTGAAAAATAAAATTTCCAATAGAATTTTTTCATCTAACTCCAAACCAATTTTTCATTGCTGCTATCTCATATTGACGTTGTCGGCAAGAGGTCTGTCTGTTCGGTAATTGTTTGTGCTGAATTGAATTTGTGTGATATTTATGTGCTTATTTCTGCGCAAAAATAAAGTCACTTTGAATTGGCAATGTATTTTTTGATTCTTCAATTCTTCTACACTCTATCAATTTATCGATTTGGTTTTTATCAGCACGTTTTCGAATTCGGAAATTTCCAAAGAAATTTTTCATTTCATTCGCATAGAACATTGGGAATACTTGCACACATTGATCAATTTGATCATCCATCAGTGAGTCCATCGGTAAGGACTGCAAAAAGTGCCGTTACAAGGCGATTGCTTGCAAGCGAGCGATTCCCTCTTGCTGAGTTGTTATTGAATAGTTCGTTGATTGATATCAGATTCGGAAACTTTTATTATTCATTCATAAATTCTTTATTCATTGCTTTCATCTAATCACATCATTATTTTTCAATTTTTCTGAGCGTATCAATTAACATTTTAACAACACGAATGGCAAAAATGTACTGATTATAACAGTGAATAATCAGTGAACAAGTTGTGCTATAATAGTTGTTAACATAGTGAATTTCGTATCTTTGTTATGACTTTGCTGAAGAAAGGAATTTTAATTTCGAAATTCGAGTTATGACTTATGACAAATGTGAAATTAACTCAACAGGGAACTAGTTTAAAAACTGGAGACGTGATGGCTAGTATAATATCGGTGGCAACAACACATATTGAGTTAGTGATATTAATCCATTTTAACAGTTGCAATGATGACATTAGGATGGAAAATGACAATTAAAATAAGAGTATTATTACAATCATTAGAGTATGAATGGTAATATAATCACTCAAGGGAAATAATGCTTTTAAAACACTCCAAATTGCAATTGCTACGCATGCAGTGCAATAATAATCGCTTGCGCTGAAGACTTATATTAATCAGTTTAAAAACTCAGAACGAGTTCACATTCGTTAGGTAATAATTCTTCATTGCTGTAATATGACACTTAATGATGATTGAGGAGGTTTGACATTGATGTCGAATGAAAATTTTATGAATTTCGACTGGTTTACAATGAAATTGAATTTACTTTTAGGAAGATTGCGTTAACATACTGTTTTTTTTTCATCTGATTGAGATTCAATGAATAAATAACTTCGTAAGTTTCTTAACGAGGAAGAAAGAAATGTGTTGAAAACAACTTGAACACATCTTAGAGAACAGTTGCGTTTGTGACTGATTAATGAAGAGATTCCGAACGATTGATACTGAAACGAATTCTCTGAACTAGAGATCGTTGTTGTTGGCTAAAGAAGAATGAATAAATCTTAGGTGAACAGATGATTCGATTGGATGAATGTTGTTTTCAGTGTTTTTGTTGCTGTTATCGTTATTGTTTTTGATTACGAAATGCGGATGAGAAGTAATAACGGAGTTACTTTGTAACAAAAGTGTGCATAAAACATAAAACATGTTATCTGTTTGATGAAACTTCAATTGAACACACTCAACATGTTCGAAGATCTTGGATGGGAAGCAGTTTTTCTTCCTCCTCTATTGAAATCTTATGTCTTGTATAATCAACAAGTTGCTTTCTTCAAGTTCTTTCATTGTTTTGATTTTGTTATTTTATCTTGTTTAATTGGATGATAATA